CTGGCAAGAAATCCTTTTTCTCCAACTTTATTTAAATTCTATTGCATAGGCACTTGCCATTCCAGCGCTCCATTTCACATACCCCTGCATTTCGCGGCGCATTTTGGTGGGCGTGGTTTCGGCTCACGGCCGAAACGAAAGATCAGTGCGTGGTAGTTAGCCTTTGTGCACCTCTATTTCTTCCATCCGTGTGGTATTCCATCAATTCTCAGCTATGTTCATCATATAACTTTCATGATTAGTAGAAACGTCCCACTACTGAGCGCTTGTGTGGAGCATCACAATTTTCTCAGATTGTCTATGCGCCTCTGCTCTGAATTTGTTAGTCCTGCGGGCATAAAATGATCCCAAAATATATTCATGCTTTCTTGACAGCACATACATCAAACTCTAAATACTATTTATTTGTCACTCCTTTTATGTAAATGATGTAGATTTCCATTCTTTTACCGTCATTGTTTCCAGCATTCATCCGTCGAGTCGAAAGTACTTACACCATCCCACTGTGCATCTCCAAAATGGACGAGCCCAAACACGTTAAAACATTATTTTCTGTTACATGACGTAGATGGGGATGATGAAGCCAGGTGATTTTATCCTAGCTCTCTGAAAGTAGTGAAGTGCAACACAAACGATTTAAGGTCGACAGCAGTGTTCAATGAAATGTGTTCCTCCTATGGAGTGGATTCCTGCCAAATGTTGCGCGTTGGTGAGGCCGCTACACTGGATGACCTTCCTGATCTTTGGGACGACATCGAAGAAGAAGATGCTGTGCTCAGTGCAGGCCTACATCGCGCTTTGCAACATGCAGCAGCCTCAGCTATGGCGCAGCAAACTTTGGAAAGAAAATCAAATGCCGTAGGTCGTTTAGCATAATCTCGTTAATACTCTTGCGTTCATCATAATTCTTGTATTTAGGCTAGTACTGTATCAACCATATCTCCATCTTACGCTGTTGTACAATCAGCTGGTCTATCTTCTACGGAGCTGAATGGATTTCCAGGTATGTGGTTGAAAGTTAGACTTTATGCACATCTTATACATCTGTCGGTACCTTTGAAGATTTGTTCAGGAAACGCTCAACTTTCCACCAAAAAATTTCGTAATATCTCAAATGTGGATAGGGAAGCTTTGACTAGTATAATGCAAAAGTTCCTCAGGGATTGTCTGGTAGCTTTTTGAAATTCTTGTTTATTTTGAAAATTTGCTCTTCACATTTGTTAGGTTCCCCATGTGGAAAGGTTGATGCGTACTCTATTCGAGCAGCTGGCAGCTAGAAGAGGTCTGATAGGAAAATCGCTTACGAGTGGCATGAAAAAATGGTTTGGTGGAGGTTCCGCAGGCAGTCTTACAAATTTGGCTGCAGTGACGTAGGTTTTCTCTGTTTCAGTTCTAATAAATACTTTAACCGGTTATTTAGCTTTCCACCTGAAAGTCTTGAGATGCA